CTATTCTAATAATAACAAAATAAAAACGATTTGTTAAGCCTAGCCGCACTTACCCCCGTTCCAAGGGAAAGTGCGTCTAAGCAAACAGTTTTATTCAAACACGTAAAATCTTAACAAAACGTAGTTTACATTGCCCAACGGAATGATAATTTACAACTAAAGAAACAAAGCTATCCAGTAGTACCTACTGAACTTGTATATGTTTAATAAAAATAAAAATAATTACAACAAAAAGTAATGTTTAAAAAACTATACCGCACTTGGCCCTACTGTATATATTACTAACTATACCGAACTGACCTTAAATATATGTATATATCTATATATATCTATATATATATATATATATATATATATATATATATATATATATATATATATATATATATATATATATATTATACATGTTCATTAAATATTATTATATTATAAGGTTTAAAGAGAATGATATACTTATATGAGGAGCGTTTTCGGGCTATCAGGTCGCCTAAACGCCAGTATATTCCAAATTTTATGGTTTAAGCGATAACTTGATCACTAGTAGATTACTCCTCATGTTTTACCGTTTAAACAATGCTTTGAAGTGGATTTTGATTCTTAAAGTTGTCTGGTTTTATACATTATTAGATAATTGCGTATGTGAACTAGGCAGTATATAATCATACAATCGATTACAATAGTCTTGGTTAGCTATTGTAATCGACAGTGTGGTGATTTAAGAAAATAAAACATGTGTGCAGTTCACACGTGATAGAAGTGAAAACTTCAAATAAAATTAAATATAAAATAAAAAAGAATCACGTCTAATGATTTATTTAATATCATAGTTTACATTCACAAGTTTGGCATAAAATATAAGATGTTTTTTTTATGTCAAATATTACAATCTTTATTTTTATATATGTGGAGCCTTAATCGAAGTATAATAAATTAAAAAAAAATTATTTCGAACAAAATTGCTTTGAAATAGCGTCATCTACTTTATTATATATGTTATGTCATTTTATAGAACAAAAATCTTCATATTAGTTTGTATACAAAAATTGATATACTCTCAAGGTGGTGTGTAAAATAGACACTAAATCGACTAAACACGACTGATTTAATATTATATTCTATTCCATTCCCTCGCAGGCGAAATCCTATTAATGTATATGTTTGTCTTCTTTTACTGTCGCTATTTCTTCAATGAGTTTCAAAAAATCACAACGATTCAAAAGAACTTTTTACTTCAAAATCACCCGAAAACTCCGCAAAAATACAATTAGTGCAACCGTACAACCGTACCGTTTCGTTACCAACGAAACGTTACGGTTTATGGAAAAAAAAATACTTTTATGGCATTTTATAAGGGCCACCACATACATTCGGAATTATGTTTCGGAATGTCAATTGGGTATTCTGTATATACATCAGACACATACGTTTATTTCCCTTAGAAATAAGAAGGCTCAGTTGAGAGACGCTAGCCATTGAATATCATTGTTACTGGATACATACTTTTTACAAACACCTTTAGATTACAAGATAGTCAATATTATGTAAAAGGATTTATCTATTCATAGATTTTTTAAATATAGATGTCTATAAGCTCTTTCGACGAATTATTAAACGAAATAAGATAAAAGCTTTCGAAAAGAGATACACATATAAGATTATATATGCAAACATACATAAACACACCTACTCCCTACGGTCGTGCGACTATCATGCGGAATTTGGAATCGGAGAAAATTTCGAAAGGAAAACTACTGTACGTGTGTGATAGGTCCTTTGTTTTATATGAATTTCCTATGTTCGAAATCCTGAATCGATATTCCAAAACGGTTTTTCGAAACGGAATTCCGACTAAATGGGGTCGGCCTAAATATGAGGTAAAGGCTTATTACATTACACGATTTCTCGGGCCCTGCCCGCAGGGACAGGGTACTGTAATAAGAAACAGGGAGTCAGGGTCCCTAAACAGGGCGACCGAGTGGTTCCGACCGCCCTGCTTCCCTGCCGCGCTGTGGATCGTGTAGTGTAATAAGAGACAGGGAGGCAGGGAGCTCAGTTGCGTGGCCGCATGCGCAGAGTCTACACGTTTGTTTATTTAAAGTTCTACTGTGTCGATCTACTCTCTAAATCATTACTCGTATTTATGTCATGCGCTAAAGAAAAAGATCCTTCTCAATGTCATCGACATCTACAAAGAAATGCCTTATCAAATCTTGATAGGAGTTTCCTGTGGCCAAAATCGTAAAGTGACAACAAATCTCTCTTAAAAAAGTATTCTTTTGAATAAAACTTCTTTTACGGATTCTATCGCGTTTAATTTTTTTTTATTAATTCCCGACGTTTCAGGTGCTTTACCACCCATGGTCACGGGGGACTGGTTGCTGTAAAAAAAAATTAAACGCGATAGAATCCATACAAGTAGTTCAATCAGTACAATGTGTAGTGTTCGCGTAAATATAAGAAATCATTAAAGTATTTTTTTTTTCTATTAAAGGCATTACTAAGCTTAATAACTCGTCGAATTGGTTTTCACCTACTCTTTAAAATAGTTTCGTAGGTCTGTTGGGTCCAAAACGCTGACTATTTGCATATTCCATAGTTTTTCTCTGAGGAGCAAATATTTTTTCATCCACATTTAACTTTCCTTCCTTTTTTTAGCTTGGCCTTGCACGTTACCACCAGCCAAAGTTTTTTTTTTATAGGATAGGGTGACAAACGAGCACACAGTCCACCTGATAGTATGTGGTTGTTGTGGCCCATAGATACCTACATTTATCCTCGTATGCGAATCAAAATGCAAATGCGTTATGACCCGTGAGGACTGAGATGGAATGCCTCTATTCCAGTAAAAAGGGTCTCCCGTTCTCTACACTCACCATACGAAACACAGCAGTGTTAAGCTGCTATTTTACACTGGTATTCTGTAAAAGCGTGGTCCTTCCCCGGTCGAGCTGATCCATTCGTGCTACAACTATACTACTAATATAGCTGCAGCATGGCTCTACTACGTAAAAAAAAACACTAAAGCAATTTTTTGACGTTTAGATAAAGTCTGCGCCATAATGCTAGACGTGCAATCGTTTCCACTAGGAGTGGGCGATACAAATCGTATATAGATACAATATCTATATATCAGCACAATATCCAATATCTATATATCGGACGACAAACTAACTATGTATTAGATATTACGATTTTACGATACCGTGTTGATATGAGTCATTGCAGAATATCTAATATCTACTCAAAAACGAAACGTAAAATATCTAAATATATACATTGATTCGGATACCGAACAAACCTCGTTAGAATATATAGCTAAAACAGATATTACGACTACATTACAACGAAAAGGTGATACGCTTACGCTTAATATTATTAATATTAATCCTTATTATTAGTGTCATACGATTTATTACAGAACACATAATTTCTAATATCCAGTCTAAGTAGTATTGCACTGATTTCAAAATAAACGATTATAGATCTTATTATGTATATAATAGGATGTTATTTTTAAACCAATTAATTTTAAATATTTCTAACACGACCTTGGGGGCTTCAAAAATTGAAGTACCTATTTGTTCAAATTTGATTTTTGTATTCTATTTTTAAATTTTATTTTTTGATTCGTTCACGTGCATTGCGTCGCGTAATTTGAATGCGGATGACATATTTTATGTAATTTCTCTGCTCACTTTCGTTTGTAATTCGGTTTCGAAATTTAAATTTTATTTTGATAATTTTTTCGTATTGTGTATAGGTACCTATATGGTTTCTTAAGTTTGAACTGTTTTTGTGTATTAAAAGTTTAAAAATAGTGTAACATAAAATATTACATAGATGCATAGATATTAGGTAGATAGTGTACATTTCTTTTAACAAATTAATTCTAGTTTAGTGTTTGACATTGTGTAGAACTAATTAAACATATTATAACAATATGTCTCGTCAACTTACAAGCATAATATGGAACTATTTTGAGAAATATGACATAGTCGATAAAAAGGCCAAATGTCGCATTTGTTGCGATATTTATAGTTACAAAGGCTAAACAGGCAACCTTAAGGCGCATTTAAAAAAAAACACTTAGATGCTTTTACGAAAGTAAGTACAGCCCAACGAGAAGCGAAAACATGTCAGCAACAAAGACATAATATAACATGATAATTTTCAACTACAAGTGTGGCATAAAGTTTAATTTTATAGCAAATAAATGTTACAATCCTTATTTTTAGATATATAGAGCCTAAATTTAAGTGTAATAAATTAAAACAATATATTTGGAGTAAGTAAAAATATACTTTGCAAACGCGCCATCTACTCCATTAAGTGATTTTATCGAACAAAAATGGATTAACTCCAAAGACTAATATAATGATTAACTCTCACGGTGGTACGCATTATAGACGTTAGATGGCATAAACACGACACGATTTAATTTAATATTCTATTTCATTAATATCTCGCAAACTAAATCTTATTGATATATATTATATGTCACTTTTTATATTATGACATACTTTAAGAATACTTAGATTACATAAATAATATCATTTATTTATAAATCTATATATGGAAATTTGTTCATAAATCGCGTATCACCATGTGATACTGCGTACTGATATCTATTCAGAACGAAGATATCAACAAATATATAGATATTGAAATATATAGATACAAAATCGGATATTCATATCCAATACATAGGTACGATTTGATATAGGGTAAAAGCGATATTACCCATGCCTAGTTTCCACGCTCGAGTAACAACTGAGGCAGGAAGCGAAAGCGATTTCTAGCGTAGTGTAATAAGCAGCGCCCTGTCTGGTTGGCAGGGCACACGATAGACAGGGCCCGATAAATCGTGTAATGTAATAAGCCTAGTAGTCTATGGTCGTACATGTACATGTTGTAAACGTAGTGATTATATTCTCTTTGGTCTAGGCTTACTATGCCTGTCTGTCAAACTAACTATTTCTCTTTGACTTGACCCAGGCAAGATGGGTGAGTGGTATTAGTTATTTTTGAGTAATATCCAATTAAATCTTGAAAGATGTTCATATTTTTTAAACATCATTACATATTGCAAAAAGTGCTTTATTTTATGTTGTACTATTTGTCGATATTTTTTGTTTTTGAACTCTTAGTTATTATGTAGTGAAGTGATAATTACAGTAAGAACGGCGGTACCTTTGTATGGTTAATGTTTAATTAACTTAATTATATGCAGGTATCAGTCGCGATCACTGGCATAAGAGAAGGGCCACTGGTGGTAAACGTGCGCCCATCCGCAAGAAGAGGAAGTATGAGTTAGGTCGCCCTGCTGCCAACACTAAGGTGAGATTCCACATAACCTAACTTATTTTGAGACTTAGTCTTGTTTTAGTTATATCGAGTAGCTTTTCAAAAAATCTAAATAGGTTATCAATAATGAAATAAAGAAACCACGTTGTTTTGATTTTGTATTTTAGCTTGGACCTCAACGTATTCACTGGGTACGAGCTCGTGGTGGCAATATCAAGTACCGAGCTTTAAGGCTTGACACTGGAAATTTCTCTTGGGGTTCAGAATGTAAGTGGAGTATTATTATTATTAAAATACTAATAATAATATTTTCTAAAACTTGTGAAAGCTTCATTTGGCTGTCATAGTTTTGTTTTTAAATCAATATTAATTGCAGGTGCAACACGCAAGACTCGTATAATTGATGTTGTGTACAATGCTTCCAACAATGAGTTAGTACGTACTAAAACTTTGGTGAAGAATGCCATTGTTGTTGTTGATGCTACACCATTCAGGCAATGGTATGAATCCCATTACCTATTGCCTCTCGGCAGAAAGAAGGGCGCCAAGCTGGTATGTTTTATTTTAGCATATTTATTTGCTGGTTTTTAGTTTTTTTTTTACTTGTATATTGAATGAATATAAGGTATTTTCATTTGAAAGAATCCAATTCTAGAGTAATATTTATTATAATCTGAGTCTTAATTTTATTTACATGATTGCATGTTAATTCAAAATTGATAATATTCGATTTTTGGTAGGTAGGAGAAATATTTAAATAAAACTAGTTTTAGGGATTTTATCGCATATATTAACTTATTTTATATTCCCTACATTTCGAGTACTACAGCACCCATGGTCAAGGTGTATGACGTCCCACTGCTATAAAATATAAAAAATTATAAAAATAACATTACGTCCTTTTCAATAAAACTAGTTTTACGTGTATTAACTTATTTTATATTCCCGACGTTTCCAGCACTTTACAACAGCCATGGTCACGGGGGAGACTGGGGTGTTTGACGTCATAGTTAAGTTTTACCTGTGGTAGAGCCATGCTACAGCTATATTAGTAGTTATTTGTAGTACGAATGGGTCTGCTCGATTGGGGAAGGACCACGCCCTCACAGAATACCAGTGTAAAATAGCAGCTTAACACTGCTGTGTTTCGTATGATGAGTGTATAGACCCGGATACTCTTTTTACTGGATAAGAGGTATTCCATCTTAGTCCTCACGACTGACAACGCATCTACATTTTGATTCACAAATGAGGATAGATGTAGATGTCTATGGGCCACAGCAACCACTTACCATCAGGTGGACTGTGTGCTCGTTTGTCACTCGATCCAATATAATAAAAAAACCATGGCTACCTCCAGATTAAAAATTATTAATTTTTGTTCCGATTTACACAGTATGAACTTACAGTATCTTGAAGTCTTGCAGTTGTATACTTGGGTTCGGATTTAATTTTATTAATTATGGGATCCCAAGTGGATGGTAGCACCCAGCCACCTTCTCTTAAGTAGTTGCATATGATGTGTAACATCTGACATCTCACCTTGGTAATAAGCAACATTAACATTATATCCTAAAAATAGCAATTTGTTTCTTTTTTATTCAAAATTAATAATATCAATTTGAGCAGTGACAGAAATTAATCTCAAATTACATTATACAACATCATACTTTGTTACCACTGTGTTTGCTCATTTGTCAAATCAAATAGTGCATGGTTCTCTGGCTTCCTGCTACACACTTCCATCCCTACTTACGAAATCATTCCTTTTTGATTGAATTATGAATACATTGAAGGAATGTGAGAGGAACAATGTTACACATCAATAAACTCCCCTTCAAGATTGAATTGTAGTGGGTGGGGGAGAGGGAGGAGAGGTGGGGAAGTCCCTGCAGCACTTCCTTCCGAAATTTCATAATTTTGTGCCAATTTGCAGTTTGGTACAACTTTTTCTAAAATAGAATTGGGAGAGGGAATGGGGCATTCCTTGCCATATTATCCTCAAAAATGCATATTATTTTATTGAAATGCCAGTCAAAACTTCTTTAGTAATAACAATTTAGCTTAGCTATTATTATTATTATTTATATAGGTTTAGCTTTTCCAAACATTAGCCTTCTTGACAGACACAAAATTTTTATAATGGCTACTTATGTTTTTTTAGTATTCAATAGCCTCCCTGATACTTAACCGGTTCAGTGCGGATGGCACGCCAGGCGTGCTATCGATTATTTTTGTGTGGTGTATGACACGCGAGTCGTTATTATAACTCGCTCAAATTGCGTTTTTGGAAGATTTATCCAGAACAAAATATTCATTATTTTGTTCTGGATAAAAACCAAAGTTTTCTACTGTGATTTAGCTGTACCTACTTATATAAATGATTTTTTTTATGAAACAAAAAAATAGTACAAAAGGTTTGTAATCTCTGCATAAAAAAGTCAATTACTCTCAATTATAAGAAAACACGTAGTTACCCACTAAAAACAAGTATCCTTCCATTTGTAACTGATGTTTGATGTCAACTCAACTTAGGTCTAAACAAGTAAAAAAAGCATTAAAAAGAAAGTTATTTTTACACAAGTGTACATTTATTCATGATAAATAGATACCAACATTGTATACGATATAAATATTATGTTGCTGTCTGTTTGTCAATGCTTTTTAAAACCCTTAGGCTAATTGTAAAGTTTGTCATGGTCTGATCATATAATTGGGCAAAATGTGAGCTGTCATTTTATGATTTGGTGTATTTTGTGCATTATTGGTTTCATATTTGCACTTCAATTTACTGTTACTGATTTTACTAGATAAGGTACTTTCATATTTTCGACAGTGATAACAGAAATCATAGTTATAAATTATTAACCTTATCATAAATTGGCAGCATATCATATGGGATATTTATTTGTAATGTAGTATATATTAAATGAGGTATATTATGGTTGTAGCACAAATGCATCAGCTCAACTGTGAAAGGACCACTCTCGCAGAATACCAATATAAAATAGCACTCTAATGCTGCTGTCTTGTATGCTAGTGTTATAGAACCAAAGACCCTTTTTACTGGTAACAGGCCCTCTATCTTTTAATTATTAGGTGTGACTGCATTTTTATTTTGATTATTTATTGAGAATAGATGCCGGTTTAGTGAGGTTGATGCTGAGGATGAGTGATGCTGAGGTTTATGAACCTCAGAATCCACTTACCATCTGATGGATTGTATCCTGTTTTTCTATAAAAATGTGCCTCATACTTTGAATTAGACTCAGAAAGGGTGTAGAATAGGTTGCTTAGTTTGTGTATTAAATATAACAGGCATAATGTGAAATTAAGAATTTGAAAATGATGTGAAACTTTGCGTGTCATATGACATTTATAATGATTACAAATTTTCAGCATTAAATCTGATATAAAATGATAACTTTCCTACTGTTTTCTATGTTTCTATTTCAAAATAAATAAATTTTGGTTGCAGACTGAAGCCGAGGATGCAATTATTAACAAAAAACGCAGTAAGAAAACTGCTAAGAAGTACCTGTCAAGACAGCGTCTTGCAAAAGTTGAAGCAGCCCTTGAAGACCAATTCCACACAGGACGTTTGTTAGGTGCGTATTTATATTAATGCAAATAACTTAAAACTTATTTTGACACCTTTTACATTACACTTATTATAAACTATTATCCACTAATCTTGCATAGTGAAATTTTACACCGTGTGGTTTCATACGTGGTAGAGCCATGCTGCAGCTATAATAATAGTATAATTGTAGCACGAATGGGTCGGCTCGACCGGGGAAGGACTACACTCTCACAGAATACCAGTGTCAAATAGCAGCTTAATGCTGCTGTGTTTCGTACGGTGAGTGTAAAGAATTGGAGACCCTTTTTACTGGAAAAGATGCTTTCTATCTTAGTCCTCACGGCTGACATCACATCTGCATTTTAATTCGCAAACGAAGATAGATGTAGCTGTCTATGGGCTACAGCTGGTTGCTGTAGCTCATAGACATATATGCAACCACTTACCATCAGGTGGACTGTGTGCTCGTTTGTCACCCTTATTCTATAAAAAAAATGTTCTTTCATCATTATTTCTTGTAATAATTGTTTTGTGTTCGCTTTGTTAATTTTTTTATTTTATGATATATACACTATAAATGATGAAATCGAGAAGTTTTGAAATTGCATTATAAACTGGAACCGTTTTGGGAACAGTTTAGCAATTGTATGATCTACTTGTCATAGTTACTCTGATATAAATTTCCACAATGTATTATGTATATTGTATTGTATATTTTTGTTTATGTTACAATCTGTTTTACAGCGTGTGTAGCGAGTCGGCCTGGCCAGTGTGGTCGAGCTGATGGCTACGTTTTGGAGGGCAAGGAGTTGGAATTCTACCTTAGAAAGATAAAATCCAAGAGGGCTAAGTAAGAAGTGTAATGTAAAATAAACAAAAAATCTATTCTGCTTGTTTTCTTTTTACCTCCAACTCTATTATTAGTTTTGTAAAAGTCACAATGTCCTATAAAAAATAAGGAATTTAAAATTGGATAATTAAAAAAAAAGAAGATACAAATTCTTTCAATAGCTGTTGTGTGTTAAATTTTTTTTGCATTTTAACACACAAACCTAACTTCAATATGGTGCCTTATAAATTAAAATTTAATAATTCCTTTATTATCTCTTAAACGTGAGGTATCGGTTTTTTAAATATAGGATATTACAAGTACTAACAATTTAGTGGTAAATTTCGTAAGGATATTTTTAGTTATCGTCTATAAATATAGACAAGTTCAGGATCGCATTTGTCTAAATCTGTCTCGAAAGGATAATAATGAGAAACAATATGTAAGTGAAAATTGCAAAGTTTAATCAAACCATTTTTTAGATTTAAAATACAACCAGATGGAAGTTAGCGTAGAACATTCTTTTTTTTAACTAAACTGTGTGGCAATTAATTGCTCCATAAATGCTCCAGCAGAATCCGAAATTGCTCCACCTCTATTGTTATTAGTTATTTTATAATTTAAAAAAAATTAAGTATCAAAAATTTAATTTTGCCTTAAAGTATAAAATATCTACTTTTTTAAATTAAACTGTATGCCAATTAATTGCTCCTTAAATGCTCCAGCAGAATCCGAAATTGCTCCACCTCTATTGTAATTAGTTAATTTATAATTAATTTAAAAAAAATTTAAGTATCGACAATTCAATTTTGCTATAAAACATAAAACATCTACGTTTTAAAATTAAACTGTATGCCAATTATTTGCTCCTTAAATGCTCCAGCAGAATCCGAATTTGCTCCACCTCTATTGCTTTTAGTTAATTTATAAATAATTTTTAAAAAATTTAAGTACCGAAAATTTAATTTTGCTATAAAACAGAAAATATATAGTTTTTAAAAATAAACTGTATGCCAATTATTTGCTCTTTAAATGTTCCAGCTGAATCTAAATTGCTATACCTCTATTGTTATTAGTTAATTTATAATTAATTTTTAAAAAAATAACCAGAAGGAAGTTAGCGTAGAACATTATTTTTTTAAATTAAATTGTATACCAATTAATTGCTCCTTAAATGCTCCAGCAGAATCCGAAATTGCTCCACCTCTATTGTTATTAGTTATTTTATAATTAATTTTTAAAAAAATTAAGTATCAAAAATTTAATTTTGCTATAAAGTATAAAATATCTACTTTTTTAAATTAAACTGTATGCCAATTAATTGCTCCTTAAATGCTCCAGCAGAATCCGAAATTGCTCCACCTCTATTGTAATTAGTTAATTTATAATTAATTTTAAAAAAAATTAAGTATCGACAATTCAATTTTGCTATAAAACATAAAATATCTACGTTTTAAAATTAAACTGTATGCCAATTATTTGCTCCTTAAATGCTCCAGCAGAATCCGAATTTGCTCCACCTCTATTGCTATTAGTTAATTTATAAATAATTTTGAGAAAGAGTGATCCCATTTGAGTAATAGCGCCATCATCAATAGAATGTAGTAACATTCTATAGTAAAAGTCATTTTATCGAATAAAAATTGATTGACTCTCAAAAGTGGTACGTATAATAGATGCTAAATGGCATAAACCCAAAAAATAATATTGATGGGTGAGTTTTGAAATTATGGATTCTTAGGAATGGATTAGACAACCATCTTAATAATTTTTTTGTGTTAGTGCCATCTAGCGCCTTTTCTACGTACCACCATGAGAGTTAACCAATTTTGATTTGATAAAATGACTACTTATAGAAAAAAAGATATAGATGGTGCTATTAAAAAAATACGTATATAATAAATAGTAATTACCTAATTAACAAACAAAACAGATATGTCTCTTCTTAAGATCGAAGAAGATGATGCACTGTGACACATCTGTATATAATTTTATGTAAATAAATGAATGATACACACCATCTATGTTATTCAAAGGCATTGATGAATAATTGAAATGTTTCCCTGTAATACAAAAGTTTCACTTCTGTCGTGTGTCTTCACGATACACACTGTTTTTTGTAACGCTTTTGTAATATATTTATATAAGTAACTAGCTGTGCCCCGCGATTTCATCCGCGTTATCACATGTTGGAGGTGCGCGACATGGCCTAGTTCAAGCATTTTATAATTGCAATTAAATATTTTATTTGATAGCAATGGATGGAAAATTTGACATAATTAATGGAGCACTTTTATCTGTCCGCATATTATGTATGATGTAGAGCGAAGTTAAGTTTTATCCACTTTCCCTCCCCCTCCCGGTTGAGCAGTTCTCGCAGTTCTCACCGGGCGGCTAAGGTTTATGTGCCGTTCGCGCGCCCAGCCAAGTATTGAATTATTTTAATTTTACATTATCTCTTAAACTATGATTCAAAATAGCATGGTATAAAGAACAAGGCTTATCTTCATAAAATTGTCTTGATGATGAAGTAACTTTCGTTCGTAAGGATAAATAGGCCATGCCTAATAATAACGCTCACTTTATTAATTTTCAATATTTTTTTCATAAAACACCTAATTATGGCTTATGTATAAGAAATAGACATATGGTATCGCGGACTTTTTTTGAGACGGAGTAAAGATCTATATTTTTCTAGAATATTTTATTTACGTATCCCTAACGATAACACCAGCGTACGCGGATAAATCATTTCGAGAGTGCGTTTTCTTCTGTCTTGCTTAACAAATATCCTTATTTTAGGCTAGCTGAGTGATATAGCTTAATGTTAGATAGCCTATACTATTCCACATGAATCTGGCTATAATATACAAAAATAATTTTTCAAATCGGACTGGTAGTTCCAGAGATTAGCGCGTTTAAACAAACAAAAACACAAAAAAACTCTTCCGCTTTATTATATTAAGTATAGATACATATAAATAACTTACATAATATATATAAGTATTAATATAATTTATACTTTTTTTTTTAAATTTAACACAGAAAATTAATAAAAATATATAAATATAAAGCTAAGATGGAAATTCGAATAAACGAATAGGCAACATGACAGCTAAGTAAGTGTACGAGACTATTTCTTAAGGGGCTACTCCATGCGAACGACCTTGAGCATTTTGCCGGCGGCGCGCCGCTCGTTTCAATATATTGCCCTATTGTAGGTAAGAACGTAGTATTATTTTTTCAACATCAATAAACTAATTTATGGAAATACACACAGCGTACAACGATAAATGTATTTTAATTTTTTTATTCGGTATATTTGTTGCATTATATTAGAATTATGTATTTTCATATATTATCTAATTATGAAATTTTATTATTAATTATATATTAAAAATTAAGCATTGAAAATTGTGAGTTTAAAAGATACCTATTCACTATAGGTTAATAAATAGATAGCTCGCCTTTTGTACAAATATTTGGTGCAATAAAGAATAAATAAATAAATAGGATGTTTCGTAGATGTGTTTTTGATTATTGTTAATTTTTACGTGTCACGTATTGAAAAGTAATATACCTACCTACAAACTTTTGAACTGAGCACCTTGTAACTTAGCCTGCTTATTACTTATGCTGGCAGACAATATCCTCGCACCAATGATTGATTAGGATGAAAATCAATTTTATTTCTACATACGTAATTATATTTATTTATTCATAAGGGTAACTTTAATAAAGGTAATACAAAAATCAACAAGAAGTATAAGGGTTCAATCTTTCAATTTCAATTGTAAAAAAACGTTACACCCACACTAGGATTTTCTCCTGTGTCGTGAAGGCAGTTTACAAACATAAATTTCACAAGGACAAACATCCAGACCCGGAACAATTATTTCTATGGCCTACATTATTTACATAAAATTATATACAGATGTGTCACAGTGCATAATCTTCTTCGATCTTAAGAAGAGACATATCTGTTTTGTTTGTTAATTAGGTAATTACTATTTATTATATACGTATTTTTTTAATAGCACCATCTATATCTTTTTTTCTATAAGTAGTCATTTTATCAAATCAAAATTGGTTAACTCTCATGGTGGTACGTAGAAAAGACGCTAGATGGCACTAACACAAAAAAATTATTAAGATGGTTGTCTAATCCATTCCTAAGAATCCATAATTTCAAAACTCACCCATCAATATTATTTTTTGGGTTTATGCCATTTAGCATCTATTATACGTACCACTTTTGAGAGTCAATCAATTTTTATTCGATAAAATGACTTTTACTATAGAATGTTACTACATTCTATTGATGATGGCGCTATTACTCAAATGGGATCACTCTTTTTCAAAATTATTTATAAATTAACTAATAGCAATAGAGGTGGAGCAAATTCGGATTCTGCTGGAGCATTTAAGGAGCAAATAATTGGCATACAGTTTAATTTTAAAACGTAGATATTTTATGTTTTATAGCAAAAGTGAATTGTCGATACTTAATTTTTTTTTAAATTAATTATAAATTAACTAATTACAATAGAGGTGGAGCAATTTCGGATTCTGCTGGAGCATTTAAGGAGCAATTAATTGGCATACAGTTTAATTTAAAAAAGTAGATATTTTATACTTTATAGCAAAATTAAATTTTTGATACTTAATTTTTTTAAAAATTAATTATAAAATAACTAATAACAATAGAGGTGGAGCAATTTCGGATTCTGCTGGAGCATTTAAGGAGCAATTAATTGGTATACAATTTAATTTAAAAAAATAATGTTCTACGCTAACTTCCTTCTGGTTATTTTTTTAAAAATTAATTATAAATTAATTAATAACAATAGAGGTAGAGCAATTTCGGATTCTGCTGGAGCATTTAAGGAGCAATTAATTGGTATACAATTTAATTTAAAAAAATAATGTTCTACGCTAACTTCCTTCTGGTTATTTTTTTAAAAATTAATTATAAATTAATTAATAACAATAGAGGTGGAGCAATTTCGGATTCTGCTGGAGCAT